CCGATGCGGGACTCGATCCCAGGACCCTGGGATCATGACCTGAGCCGAAGGCAGACGCTTAACCATCTGAGCCACCCAGGCGCCCTACTTGTTCGTTTTGTAAGACCCATTTGGAACTAGTTAAAATTAAGACAGCCTCTTAAATGGGGCTACTTACAAATGTGCCACATTCTTTCTTTGCCTGTTATCTGACAGGAGCACTTCTTCATATAAAATGTTATCAGACAAAATACTAATGCAGAAGTGTTTTATAAAACCAATTACAACAGACCCTAAGTTAGGTGGAGATAACTCTGTGACCCATTCCAAATACAAATTTGCCTACACACAAGCTTTCTTCTTCAGGTGTTTGGAGCTACCTCGTCCATATTTTCTCAGGAACCAACAGGATATAATACTCTCTGTACTACCTGACATGTAGTTCATTCTAAATTGCATGCTATCTTAACAAATAAAAATAGCATGTACAGTAACTAAACATTATAAAAATCTAAAGGGCAACTGTAGGAACTTCAAGAATAAGGCTGTCAATACATAAACCAAGTAATTATGTTTCAAATTGCTTATGAGATTAAAAAAAAACCTCAAAGCAGTAGTGATACTTTACTTAAACATTCTCTGGACTGTGTTTTGAAGATTTTATTTATTTGAGAGAGAGAAGAGAGAGCTCAAGGGGAGGAGCAGAGTGGGAGGGGGAAAGAATCTCAAGCGGACTCTGTGCTGAGCGTGGAGCCCAACGTGGGGCTTGATCTCACCATCCTGAGATCACAACCTGAGCCGAAACCAAGAGAGAGACGCTTAAGCGACTGAGCCACCCAGGCAATCCTGGACTGTGTTTTGATAATGTATTTCACAACCTTGACAAATGTACCAATAACATCCAAAAAGTTGTACATTAAACACTACATTAAACACTTACTTTGGGGCGCCTGGGTGGCTCAGTTGGTTAAGCGACTGCCTTCGGCTCAGGTCATGATCCTGGAGTCCCAGGATCGAGTCCTGCATCGGGCTCCCTGCTCAGCAGGGAGTCTGCTTCTCCCTCTAACCCTCCCTCCTCTCATGTGCTCTCTCTCTCTCATTCTCTCTCTCAAATAAATAAATAAAATCTTAAAAAAAAATAAATAAACACTTACTTTGCCTAACTTTTTGTTACTGTTTACTAAATGCAGATGAGTAAAGTTTTAAAAACATTCATTCTTTCTTGGGAAGTCAACTGAGGATATGTATCAATAAAATGAGGGAGTAAACCAAGAAAGCAAAAAGATAATGGCATCAGGAGGGAGGATCTAAAACTGAAGCAAAGCAACTGATTTTCCCAAGGTAATGACACAAGAATTTCCTGGAATCCAAGAAGATTAGCACCAGGGAAACAGAGCATCAGACTAGCTGACATCTTTGATCATGGACAATTATACTGAGAAGCATTTTACAGTACTGTCAAAAGTAGAGGGCAATTTTATCAAGAGACTCAAAGAAAGTTAAACAAAAGTCAGGCAATTATGAACTCCAGAATAATTAAATATAATCAGAGTACACTATTTTAGCAGAGACCATAATTTATTTTTTTAATTTTTTAAAGATTTTATTTATTTATTTGACAGAGAGAGAGAGACAGCAAGAGAGGGAACACAAGCAAGGGGAGTGGGAGAGGGAGAAGCAGGCTCTCCACTGAGCAGGGAGCCCGATGCAGGGCTCGATCCCAGAACCCTGGGATCATGACCTGAGTCGAAGGCAGACGCTTAATGACTGAGCCACCCAGGCTCCCCGAGACCATAATTTAAAGTCATAATAATAAGAAATAAAGGGAGGAAATGCAGAAGACACAGCCATATATACCTAGCTTTGCAAGAAGCATCTTAGAGAAACACAAAAGTGGCATCATGGTTATTCCTGCGGGGGAATTAGGGAGCATGGAAGACTGGGGCAGAGGGCCTCTTTCCCCACATGATTAATTTGTTGTTCTTGCATTTTTGTTTGCAAACTGAATAAACATTCAAGTTCACTTTTGTTCTATTAACCAGGTTTGATGACATTTAATTCTATTTGGTTTCAGAATCCGCACAGGAGCACTTTGCTTTGTTTTGCTAAAGGCGTGGCGGCAAACGTACATTCAGCCCCAAGCTGTGCATGAATTCTGCTGAAGCAGCCGCGCGGGGACCACAGACGGACCCTCACACAGGAGCATGGCAGGAGCAGTTCTCCAGAGGAAAGGGGTGCTCTGGAGAGACATAAATGACTGGCACTCCCCAAGGCACCCATATGTCGGTGCTCCTTAGCAATATCTCAATCTGTAAGACTTGAGTACATGAAGATGGTGATGGCCTGCTCCAGAAAGCAAGCCTGATTATCTGCTACTGTACTTCTCTGATTCATTTTTTCATGAACTTCAGATAGAAAGCCTGGAAAGAGGCTACACTTAAGGAAAGTCCAGAATGGGCAGATGAAGCCACTTTTACTGCCTCTCTAGATTGGACCTAGTTTATGGAAAGTTCTCAGGTTCCAGCCTAGCTCAACTCAGGAAGGAATGTTGCATTCATTTTAAAGCCAAACACCAGATAAGCAATAAACTGTTTCTGTATTTATATTTCTTATGGGGATCTTTGTAGTATGTATGGTTGTAGTACGGAAAACTTTTCATTTTATACCATCTTTCAATGTAATTTGAAATTTCTGTTACAAGTAAACAAGAAGTCCTAAGAATAAGTACATTTTTAACCTAATAATTACATAAGAAATCTCAATATTTCCTGAGAAACTGGACACAGTAAAAGTTGCATTTTTAAAAAGTTTATTCATCTACGCACCCATCCGTATTTTCCAAAACCGTTCCTCATCACTGATAACATTAGAAGCCTATGAGGTTTGACAGTATTAGTTATATTGGGATGTTTTAAAAGCGAGACCCTGTATGTTAGAGATTTCAAGTGTTTATAGATATGACACGCAAGAACATTTAGGACGCCTGTCACAGTGACGGAAGGGCAGGCACAGGTATGGAGGGGGCTCTGGGTGAGGCAGCTGTTGATGACTACGGACACTGAGTACTGGGTACATGGTGGACGGATCAATATAGTATTCTACTTTTTCTTAGATTTGAAATTGTCCATAAAAAAACCCAAAAAACAAAAAACAAAACTACTGACAATTTATTTGGCTCTTTAACAGGTAAAGCACATCACCACAAAGGTGACCTATTAGGGCGGGCTGAGGGCCGTTCCCAAAGGCACACCGGAGGGTTATCTGACCCCATTCAAAAAAACACATAAACAAGGATAAGTGAAAGCGTAGTTAGCACTCACCAGGCGTTTTGAGTCTTCGTTCTGCTTGTAGAAAAACAGAAGCTGCCTCACCAGAAGGGTAAGGTTGGGCCCACTGGCAATGCAGAAAGTACCCCCCGACTGAGAGGCGGCGGCGCAGCGATCGAACGCGCTTCTCTGGACGGCGTGCTGGAGGCGACACAGACCACAGCAGGCGTGACGCGGCGGGGCGCGGCCGCGGCGACCCCA